AAGTATATCCCCTGTCAGTTCTTAAATATAATGGGCAGCAACAGTTGCTTCTCTAAGACCACTGCTGGTGCCTCTCCTCCTCGGCCTTGTGTTTACACACACCTAAATGCTTCAGACCAGCAAACTGCCAAGACCTTTGCTTTAGTCGAGGCGCTCACACTTGCTACTTGTCCTCTTAATTCAGGATGAAGCAGTAAGGTGTACTGCTTCTGCACTTTGGCTTCATCTTCATGCAATACATCATGCATTTCATTCATCCGAGGTCGTATTCACCAAATTTTAAGCCCTTCTTTAATTATATGTAAAACCTGAACTGACAGAGGGTGTACTTTCTTTTTGCCATGACTGTAAACTGGATTTATTGGCGATTCTAAAATAGCTGTAGGTGTGAGTTGCTTTCTTTCTGTGTTAACTAACTGCAGCTTTCTTCACAGCAATTTTTACACTTTGTAAAACCATCTAGTGGGCTGATGCCACACAGTGGCAAATCCTTCCACTTAAGACTGGGGAAATATTTTATATGTACCTGGATTTGCTTGAAGTGACTGTGTTAAAACATGAAAGAAGACCCGATCTCTAATTCCAAGAGAGTTCTCAGAACAAAGCCACAAACCAAAAAAAAAAGAAAAAGTCAACCAGTGTATGTACGTAAAAGAGAAACAGCCACGTGAAACCCATCTCCACATTCACAAGAGTCAAATGACAGAACACAGAGAGGGCAGTTTTTTTCCTCATAATTATTTAATCACACATACATTTACATCATGCAGTCAATCCAAAACTGTGATCTCATTAACGTCCCGTCTCCGTCCATATCAGAGCCCAGCCATTTGTGCCCCAGTTCTCCAGGAATGATCCAGTACCTTGTCCACTGATGGAGCCCCAAAGCTGTCCTTTTAAAAACTGACCAACTATTACACAGTAATAAAAAAAAAGTGGCTACACTTTTAATTTAGAATTAATGCAAAATTTAATTTAGGTAAACACACGTATTTATCTTTTTGCTGTATTTATTCCCCATTTCGTGTCCAGTTTTGGTGGGAGGTCAAAGGATGAACATCTTGAGGTCCACGCTGCAATGTCTCAGCTAAATCTAGAAGGTTACACAGAGGGTATAAACCGTCTCCATAAGACACCAAACACTGTCCTGTCATAGATGCGAGGGAGCTACTCCTCCCTGCATCTTGCAGAGCGTAATTATTACAACTGGATACACTTCAGCGACAACAAGCAGTTGTCAAAACTTTTCTTCCCCTCCTCCACTCAAAAACAGCCACATGCGGAGTGTTTTTATCTGAGTGCAGCTAAACAAGTGCTGTTTTACACCCAGCTTTCCTGTATGGAGATAACAGGTTTTAGCCAAAATCATTTCCCCTCCTTTTGTTTTCCAGCTACATTCGTTCCACCAGTCTCAAAACACATCCTTTTTCAGTAGAAGTTTCTTTGACCAGTCTTCCTAAAAAGCTTCAAACTCAAAACTTTGGGTCATATGTGATTTTTTTTATACAATCTGTGCACTTTTGTTAACTTTCCATTACAGCAGCTGCAGTAGATTTGATATAGAATATGAGGTTTATATAAAACAAAACAAAAGATCTGCAACATGTCTCAGCTTTTCAGAAAGAGTGATCAAAGAAAGAGAGCACACACCGAGGACTCGACACCAGTGAAAGTAAACGCAACACAAAAAGGAGGATTGGGCAGGAACTACCACCGCAACCACACCCTGATCACACCTGCCGGCCGACTGATATACAGTGTATTTTACAGTATATTGCACTTGCACAAGATGTTAGTGTTCTCATGCTGGGGTTACAATCACAACAAGCTCTTTGCCAAATGCAGTGGGGCTTCACAGGGTTAAAATAAAGATGTGATGGGAAATTAATAACAATTTAAAAAACCCACTAAAAAAAACAACAAAGAACAAAAACACAAAAAATCTACACCCCTGGTTAGATTTAGTTAAATAGACCCTTCCTCCAGATGATAACAGAAGATCATTGTGCAATTATAGACCCCGCTCTCCCTGACTGGCTGATCAGCGGCGAAGGTTTAACCCATCAACTGAACGATCCCACTCCACCCGCCCGTCGTTACCCCCCACTTTGAAATAGAAATCTACACCATCTATGGAACAAAGAAAGAGATACAGTACATAAAACCCAGCATGACACTCTGCTAATTTATAACCGAAAGGGGGCGCATACAGTTACAGGTCTTTTAATCTATAAGGTGTGGGGAGGGAAGACGGAAGAAGCGAGGCACCCTTGAAAAAGAAAACATGACACTGCAGGGATTCAACAGTCAAACTAGCAACAAGAACCAAAAAAGAAGAGGTCCTGAATACACGAGTGAAAGGAGACGAGTTACCGACGGGGACCCAGCGAGGACAGGACGAGCTTCGTGTGCTATTTCCATCTATACACTTGCAATCTATGTGCTCCAATGTGCAGAGAGATATTAAACAGCTTCCATTAACACATCATTATTAACCACCGAGAGAAGTAAAAACAGTACATTTAGCTACGTAGCATAGGCTATGCTAAAAGGTGGAAGGCTGTTGTGTTAACCGGATCCTCCTCCTCTCTTTTCCCTTCATTCTACATTCTTTGCATCCTTCTCATGAAGCCACCATTAACGAGTATAGTTTTTTTTTTTAACTTAATATTAAAAACAGTTGGCCTCCACAGGTATTTAGGTAAATACACCTACGGTGCACTGTCGCACGTCTTCTTGGCTTTAGTTTGATCCTTGTGTTTAGCCTCGTCTCTCCAGGGAAACGTGTGCAGTAGTGCCAATTTTACAACTGTACAACAAGATCAGACAGAACAGTAGTGCTCGACGCCATCTAGTCAATTCAAAACATTTTTTTGTACTTTTTTTGTTTTTCCCTTAAAGAAGCATGTAAAATCTACCCAGAGAAAAGTGTGGTTAACAGCCAATGATAATAATAATAATAATTATAATAATAATAACAATGAACTGTACAGAGGTTAGCTTTATAGGGTCAAGCTGTTTCTCACTGTAGGGTCTCCTCTTCGTTTTTTTGGTCTTTTTTTTAGTATTAGGTGTTTATTTCTATGAATTTTTTGGATCTTTCGACCGTTACATTCAGCTTGGCACAGTGCAGAACTACTCGCACGACGACAGATGACGACAGACTGTGCAAAACGAAAAAGAAAAAAACTAAACAAAATCAACAAACCCGAAGCTACACATTCGAGTCGCGCCGAGGCTTCGCTCGCCGAGGCTTCGCTCGCCGAGGCTTCGCTCAAGACTGCGCTCAAGACTGCGTTTGGTTGCCTGAATAAGAATATTATCTTGGCTTTTTGTAAATTAAAACGGTTGTCTTCTTTCTTTTATTATATCCAGTAAGAGAAAAAGAGATAAGTCATGATTAGAACGTTGGGGAGAGGGGGTGGGTAGGTGGAGGTGTGATGGTGGGGGGGCTGGAGCTGTACAAGCTGGGAATATTTATATATATATATATATATTTATATTTCAGAAACTCCTTCGTGGTTCCAAAGCAGCGACGAGGAGTCTGTTCGCTGTAATGGAATGACAGGTTGTCGGGGTGGGCGGGGGTGATATTGGCTTCTTCTGTGGTGTCGTCCTTCTGTTCTGCTGCTCTTCAGCTACATAATAAAAGAAATATATATATAAAAATTAGTGAAGGGCATTAGTGAAGACTACTTTCATTTAACTTGAGAAGTTTTCAGTTGTACAATAAATAAAAATGATTTTTAACAGGATATCTTCAGTACTCCTGGATATTAATGAAAGTCTACCATGCCTGGCTTTAGATGCGTTATTGTGTACTTTTAAGAATTGCTGTGTGAGAAAAAACAAAAACAAAAAAACCTAACAACTACAAACTACTTACTTCTTGTCAGGCTTGCTGCTGCCCCCTCCTCTGATGGACACCGTCTGGCTGTTCTGGTAGAAGCCTCCTCCACTGCGGTTAATGTTGGGGTGGGTGGGGGATGCCACTGGCTGCTGCCCAGGCCTGATGGGTTTGGCTGAGCAGAAGAAGAAGACAAGTTACCTTTAGAAGACGACCGTTTGCTTTATGACAGGCAGCCAATCAGACAAAAGCTACAGTGGAGCCAAAACAGCAGGAATGCACCGAGGCCTTGGTATAAGATGAATGTGGATTATTTTGAACTGTCAATCATACAAAGCTAATCTTAGAGAACTTCAGGGGGAAAAGCAGAGACATAAGCCTAACAGGTTCCCATTAAAGTACCTTTCAACACATAATCTAAAGAGATAAAAAAGAAATACTCATATTTGGTATCAAATAATTGAGAAATCCAGTAGATAAAAAAAATACACCAACACAAAGCTATTTGCAGGTTTCAAAGTAAATTCAGCTTTCTATTTAAATGATATTCATATACAGGTTAGCAAAATCTTCTGCAAAACAGCAACACGATGTTCTCCTTTGAGCCACCATAAAATTAAAATGTTGACTTTCTGTCGTAAATAAAAGGAAGAATGGTGAAGGGTGTTCCTCGCCCTGTTCATTCCTACTAACCAATCTGGGCTGAATGTCCCCTCCTGGCCATGTTCTTGGCTCTGACGGCCTCTTTGATGCGGTCCACTTCCTGCTGGTAGCGCTTGCGATCGCGGGCGGCGTTCTCCTTGGCTTCCTTCAAAGCAGACTCCAAGGCCTTGACCCGCTCAGCCGTAGCTCGAAGACGCTTTTCCAGTTTAGGAAGCTACAGCGCAGGTCTGCATTATCACGCACCAGCTGTGGGACAATTTGCGTGAAAACCATTTAGTCATTTTAGCTTCATACATAAGTGCCAACAAGGGAAGATGAGTTGTGCTACAACAGGCAAATAAAAATATGGCATGAACAACAAAAAAAACAAAACACATTGGTGTGCACGTCTGTCTCGTACCTGTTTGTGAACCTTGGTGAGTTGTTCAAGATTGTTCTCAAGAAAGGAAATTTTCTGTTTCTGAGCTGCACTCCCACCTGTGTCATCTGAGTCCATCTCAGCGCTCTGCACAAAATAAAAAACATACAGATGTGACTCATGAACAGAGATTAATATACACGCCTCCCATCTGTCACCACATCCTTGTTTATTGCTGCATGTGATTTTTGGTGTGCTCTCTCTCTTTTTTTAAACTTCTTCTCTACAGACATAAATACTTCTTGGTAAGCTGCCCGTCATCCTGTGAATGCTCACCTTCTTTACTCGGGTGGCCAGGTCCTGGACAAAGAGTTTCCTCAGGTTGTGCAGAGTCTGCAGCTCTTTAGCCTGAAATAAAAACAGAAAAGTGTATTCTAAACTCATTTGCAGGAATAATGAAACAAACAGTGTGTTTCCTGCAGAGGTGAATCCCATTTTTAATGGTAGTGTGTATGTATGCAAAAGTAAGACACAAGCATGCCAAATAATGCTGTTCATAACTCAAAATATATTAACAGCAGAGCATTTTGTGATAAATTAATCATGCAGCAATAGAATCGGCTGCCCAATGTTTCTTCTGCACCACAAGTCATCTTCAACTCCACAGCACTGGGCTGCAGGCTTCTGCTCCTCAGCCTCGGAGAGACCTCAGCATAGCACAGCTCTCCATCTGTTGTATGTTCTGATTAGAGTGGCCTCTAGCTTTCAGAGGACTTCCAGAGCTGAACAAAGACTACCGAGTGCTGCAGTCCAACACTGTGAGTTGGACTTTGGTAAAACAGAATAACAATGACGACCACAACAGCGAGCCAGCGGAAGAGGAAACGGGGACTAGACTGCTAAAGTTTCAAAATAGGATCGAGGGAGTTAAATATAAAAGCAGATGGCATCCTTCTCTTGGGATTAAAAAGAATACTAAGCTGAGTAGTCAAAGACACCTGGTCAGACTGTTCAAACCCATGTACTTTATTTATCAGACAATTTCAATGAACTCACCACTGTCTCTTCCAGACCCTTCAGGTCCTGTCTGGCCTGCTCCCTCCTGTCCTGCATCACCCTGAAGAAGAACAAAAGAACAATAACACATCACATATGAAATTCTAAAACACTATAACAAAACTGCGGGTTGACAGACTTGTTTTTTGTTGCATCTTGAAAGTGAAGAGAAAAACAAACAGAAAATGGCGGCCAGTGGACAGTAAACATACGTGAGCTCGTGCAGCTTGCGGCTCTTCTCCTGATCGGTGGATTTGAGCTTCTCATGCTCCACTCTGAGTCTCTCCTGCTCCAGCATGATCTTCTGATTCAGACTAGAAGAAACAAAATAAAATCAGAATCAGTACGTCTCAGTCAACATATCCAAGTCCTGAGTGCACTTTTTCTACTCTTCTCATGAACCTCCATGCAGTTTCAATTAAACTTTGCATAAATATTTGTTGGACTGTGGGTTTCCATGTCCCACTACTGCATCTATGTGCACAGACAAACACTGACGACAAAGGCAGCCGGACATTGTAAAGCCTTACTCCTGCAGCTCGGTGATGAGCTTCTCCTTGTTGTCCAGCTCGTCTCTCAGGCTGCTGATCTGTTTCTGATGAGCTTCACGATGGGAGTGGATCTGCTTCTCCACTGCTTCCTGAACACAGACATAAACGGATAATCAGATTCAAAGGAAAGTTTCACTGACTAATAAACAAGCAAAATGATAATGGGATACAAAAAATTACCAGGATGACATTTAGCATTAGCATGGGAGTGACATATTTTAGTAACAATAGTCAACCAAAGGCCGCCACTGAGAACATTTTATGTAGCATTTTATGCACCCACAACTGATCTCACACTATTATATGGCAGGACAAAATGAGACTCAAAGGACCACTTGTTCTTAATGTCTCATCTGGCCATCATCAGCCGATGTGAAACAGCCAGCCCAATAAAGGTAAAAACATACACCAACACAGAAAGAAGACAATAAAATTAAGAAATAGAAATTAAAAATAAAATACGTGAGTGTGTAATTTTCCTCTGGAGCTGTCAACAATAAAATACTTCCCTAAAATAAAACGGATGTTTGTTTGTTTTTTAACATCCTGTTTATTGGGAATGAGGAACACACCTTGACTTCATTGGCAGTCTGGATCTCGTTCTCTTTCTCCATAGCATGGACTTTCTCTGCATAACAGAAAACAATTCCCCGTTATTCACCGACATCAAAAGGACAAAGTGCTGAATGCATTCTACAAAAGATCCTCAAAGTAAACTCATTATTTTCTGTAGGAAACCACACTGAGTTTAACCAGCCGTGAAAGCTTGTTTATTTCTGCTAGACTGCACGTTGTCTTAACCTCCTAGGACCTTGCGTCCACATATGTGGACATCACATTTTGGGTGATTTAGACCAAAATACTGAATTTTGCTCTACAACGCCTGATATCCACTTACGAGGACATTATACTGCTACTGTTCTATCAAAATTTTAAACGAATATCCTCATATTTGGCTCTTATTTTTCTTAAAAACAAAAATAAGGTAAAAAAAAATCTGATAATTCTTTGTTTTTACATTCATCTGGCCCCAATATGACCAAATATCAAAGAGAAATTAAAAATGCATGCCGTGGAAGAGTTCAAGAGTTCGGGTCGTAGGAGGTTAAAGCAGACTTTGAGTGAGTTCCAGTGTCGGTGCTTTAATTCCTGCCCTTCCCTCATAAAGTGACGTACCTTGAGCATTGAGCTTGACAAGTTCCTCATTGAGAGCATCCACATTTTCCTCCAACTGCCTCTTCTTCTGCTCCACATTTTGCAGGTACTCAGTCAAGGACTTGATTTTAGCCTCGTGCTTTGGACGGAGGAAAGAGGCACATGTAAATACATAGGTGTCAGTGAAAGCCGTGATTCACTGTGCCGTTTTTGGTTCATTTCCACACACCTGGGAGATGCGCAGCTGGCAGGCAGCCAGTTCCTTCTCGTTCTCATCCATCTTCTTGTTGCTTTCTGCCTGGGTTCCCTCTAGCTGCTTGCAGCGTTTCACCATCGTCTTCACTTCTGACTTCATCTTGCTGATGTACAGACGGGCCACTGTAAACTCCTCATCAATCAGACCACTGCCACCGTCATGTTGCTGAAATGAAAAACGACGTTAAGACCACATAGTGGGAAAAGAAACGAGAAAAAGGAGGAACAAAAACTGGAAAAGATGGATAGAAGCTGAACCAGAAAGTGCAGAAATCAGCTCAGTACCTTAATGTCATTGCTGCCTACAGCGATGCCAATCTCAGCTAGGTCTTTAAGCAGTGATGACATCATCTCAGTCACCCTCTTCTTCTGGTGGTTGGACATCTCCTTCAGCTTCTGAAGCTCAGAGTCCAGAGATGACAGGATGGACTGCAAGAAAAGAGAAAGTATTAACACAAAGTTAACTGCTATTGAACTATTCAGCACTAAAGTTGTCACTGCTCCTCCTTTTCTTCTCTTGGCTGATCACTTTTAGGGGTCGCTGCAGATAAACGACTTCCATCTCACCCTATCCCAACCCAACACCAACCATCTGCACTTCCTCCTTCACTACATCCATACATTCTGTGGTCTTCCTCTTTTCCTCCTTCCTATCTGCTCCATCTTCAATATTCCTTTGTCCAATATATTCACAACTGTCTCAAAGTTCTTCAGCCTCAGCTGTCCCTCTTGCTTCTTAACCAATATTTGAATTTAATTCAGTGCTATTCTCTATAATACAACAATACAACCAGTGTACTGGTGTATGCGTGTTCATCTTTCCCTGTCAGGCATCTCTCTATCACTGTGTTCAAGTATAGCACATGCTGGCAATATTTTATTGCACTTGCAAGTAAAACTTGTGCAATTAATATTATTTCAGCTGTATGTGAGCAGGTAAACCTATAATTAATAACAGCAACTAGTGACCTACTGACTCTCACACTGAGCTAAAATGAGAGAAGCATGTTATTTATGTTATGTTATTATGTTATTTATTCTATGCATTTTGATCTAATTAGCATACTGATAGATATAAATTCCATAAACTTATGTTGTTTTTTTATATGTGTCTGTTAGATTAAAAAAAAAAAAGTCAGGGAAGAAATATCCAGACGGATTCTGCTGTACAGACACAAGAATGATTTCCAGTCTGCAAGTGGAAAAAACTGGATCAGTGCATGCCAATTAAAGTTTCCTCCACATTCTCTGACCCTGCACACGACAACTTAAGTGGCCAAAAGGCTACTACTACTACTACTACTACTACTACTACTACTACAGGCATTGCTCCCTCACTCCTCTGCTGCTTTTTCAATACGTTCTTGTAAACAGGCATTGAGACTTATTTGAGGGTGTAATTACCTTTGTAAAATCATAAATTAAATGTTTTTGCCTTGAGGCACGTAATAAGAATGAAGGCATTTAGTCAATCTGCCAAGTACTTCTCCACTTTATGGAACATGGTTCAGTTACTTACAGAAATAAAGGTTCTGCAGCACCAATTAATATGCACATGTTTGCCGGGTGAATGTGTCAGTTCTAGTTTTTAATCCCCGCAGGTTTTAAAGGCTTTAATTATAGCGCTGTGTTTGTGTGTTGCATATTAACATGGCCACTATAAAGGACACGTAAAAGGCACCTGAATGAAATTAAAGTATCACTGAGTCTATGAGCATGCTGATATCTGTTCCGGGCTCACCGATTTCTGGCTGAGCTCCTCGCTGATGGTCTCAAACTCCTTGGTTTTATCCTCCACCTCTTGGCTCTTCTGGTCATAATTGACAGCCAGCTCTTCCAGAGCCTGCAGCACCTCCTTCACCTCCTCCTTTGAGGCTTCGTTTTCCGCCTGGAGGCGGTTCAGCTCTGTCTGGAGGTTTTCATGATCACGGCGGGAAGAGGCTAGAAGCTGGATGAAGGAAAAGCAGCTTAACTTTGTTTTATTCTTTTAAACGTGTCATTGCAACAATAAGGAAAGCTGACTGCATTTTAAGTCCAATAAAAACATTTTTCATAGTGATGTGACAGCTTCACGTGTTTCCTCGCTCCTGTGAAGCTACAAAGATCACGAGTTCACTCTGCATCTGTGCCTCCACGCCACCTGTTAGACCTCCAGTACTCACCTCCTCCTGGTCCAGCATCTGTTGCTTCAGCTTCTCAGCCAGCTGGCTCTGCTGGTTGATTTCCTCATCCTGTAAAGGGTAAAGACAGACGGCAACATCAGCATTTACGCCAGGCCAAACACCACAAGTAGACAATTACAAATAATAAATAAATTTTTATTTATATAGCACCTTTCAAGACAGAATCACAAAGTGCTGCACATAAGATTACAAGTCATAAAAAGATTTAAAAAGAGAAAATAAAACAGGCAAAAAATTAACCAAAAGCAGTTTTAAAAAGGTGAGTTTTGAGTTGTTTTTTAAAAACAGCTACTGAGTCCACAGTTCTTAATGTTTGGGGGAGAGAGTTCCACAGTCTCGGGGCCACAGTGGCAAAAGCTCTGTCACCCTTAGTCCTCTTAGTATTTTTTAAAGCAAGTAAGCCCTGATCAGATGACCTCAAAGACCTGCTAGGGACATCGGGCTGTAGCAGATCAAAGATGTAGGCTGGTGCCAGTCCGTGCACAGCTCTGTAGGTCAAGACCAGGATCTTAAAATTGACTTCAAATTTAACAGGAAGCCAGTGTAACTGAGATAACAACGGTGTCACATGTGAGTACTTGGAGGATTTTGTCAAAAGCCTAGCTGCAGCGTTTTGCACAACCTGCAGACAATCCAGAGAACCTTTGCTTAGACACATAAACAGCGAATTACAATAAACCAGGTGAAAGACCACTGGTTAAACAAAGAATGGTCTGGATGATTAAAGAAACATTTTTCTCATTTAATAACTGAAGATTTTCAAAAGAAGACTCAGACTTCTACTTTCCAATGAAAAGGAAGCAGAATAAAGCCTAACTGTTGTTGCATTTTCACATTTACTAAGTAGTAATTGTTTAAAACCTGTCACACACAGGTTGACAAACGCACCTTATCATCCAGCTGTTTATAGAGTTTGGCCAGCTCTGCTTCACACTTGTCCTTCTCCACGTCAGTGAGCCGAACGCCGGGCACGTTGGGCGTGGAGGCCGCCTTTTCGTTTATAATATTGTCCAGGGCCAGCACCTCGGCGTTGGCTTTCTCCTTATCAAACTGCTCCTCCACCGGCACGCTCTCACCTGAGGAGGAGCAGGAAAACGTGTGTTCAGTAGATGGAAGAAGAGTTGTTTCTCTCATGCGCACATAAACGGCACTGAGAAAGGATTAGACGACAGCCTCACCATTTCTCCAGCGGTTCAGCTCATTCTCCAGCCACGTGATGGTGTTCCTCAGGGTCTTGTTCTTCTCCTTCTCTCTCTCATACTTCTGCTTCCACTGCTCTGCTGTCAGCTCAATGTTCACTGTCACTGTGTTCTTGATGGTCTTTGCTCTGGATTATGAAGAAATACATTTTTGTTTTCCACCAGAGAAAAACCTCATGCATCATTATTCATTACAAGGAAAATAGCACATAAATGCACCATCTGGGACTTAACAAGTATTTTTTTAGAACTTTATATTCTGCTTTGCTGTAAATCTGATATTTATAATTACATTTTCTAATGTAGTTGCTTAATTTATATGAAAACATTTTCTGTAATGTCAAAGTGGGACATGAAGCTGATTTGTTTTGACAAAACCAACACAGTTGAAAACTTTCCATCAGCCTACTGACCTCTGCCCGAACATTAGGGTGGTTTTGGTTTCAGCCTCATTAAAGGACGAAGGTGAGCAGCAGATGACAATGGTGGTTCGACAGTTACCGCCCAGCGAGTCCTGCAGGATACGGGTCATCTTGCTGTCTCGGTAAGGGATGTAAGCCTTGAAATGGGCAACAAAAACCATAAAAATCAATGACAGAAAAGCACACTTGTATTCAAGGTGACAGGATAAGATATGCATCTGGTTCTCAGAGAAGGTGGCATTGTCAACAGAGATACTCAACCTCCTTTTCGACAGAGGACACTTGAAGGACAGGCGCAGTCAATTAATATATTTACCAGAAATTAAACAACCAATAAAAAGTGAAGAAACATTAAAAGGCCTGGAAGTCAGCTTTTTTCAATATGATTTACCTACAAATTTACAGAATATATTAACAATACTAACTAGGTAAAATTTCTTATTCTTTCGGCCCCTCTCTTATTAGGTATGGCCACAGTAGATCACCTACATACTCAGCCTATCCCTAACACTCTCGTCTGTCGCACCAAACCTCTCAGGTCTTCCTCTTTTCTTCCTGCCTGATCTCATCACACACAAAGATAGCGACCAATCCTACAAGTTTCTGGGCTCAGTCACTCAATTTGAGTCATATTGAATAAAACATCAACCCTTTAATGTTCTGGCTCAACCATTTGGTAGGGCATTTTGAGTCCTTATATTGTTCTGAAACAGCACTGACATTAACTTGACGTGCCTGAGCAACTTCTACCACTTGGTTTTGATAGGTTATTTTTAAAAGAATCAACTGGATGTCAATATGTCTTTTAATGGTTAGCAATGATAAAGCTAACCACTAAAAGACATATTGAATGCTTGACACGTGGACAAGTTGGGTACATTGTTTTGGGCATGAGGCATGGTTTAGGTTAGAGACATCGCTGTTGATGACAATACCCCATCAGCCTTTTACAGCTGAGGGTTAAAAACCTTTATCTGCCTATATTACAGGTCTCACAAGTTTAGAAAAAACAGACATTTAAATAATAACTTGATATATGATTCACATTTATCCAAATGGCTAAGCTGAAACAGCCTCCTATACATCACACTCCTACACACACAGTAGAGGTAAGCAAGACCTCTGTGGACAATAGCTCATTTGTTTTACACCATTGCCCGCCTCAGGTTGTTTACGAAGCCACAAAAGCTACATCAGACCAATCGTTGATCAAAATGAAAAGGGTGAAATCAGAATGAAAATTGCTGGGAGAAATGTTTTTGCTTTTTTATTTTTTATTATTAAATCTGCTTAAGTGTTACTGCAGCACAAAGAACCTGTAGAAGGCTGAAAATGTTACTTTCACATCAAGACCACAGAAAAGGACTGTGGTTTTTCAACAAGCACACCAAGCCTGGGGTTGTGCAGCTGGTCGGTACCGACTTTGCTTCTGTTTGCTACAATAATAGTAATGCCTGTCTGCTTCAAAATGCAACAGAAGCATGAGGCAAAAGAGCATAGCCTGAGGTTATAACAGATTTAATGTTTATTATGCTGAATACACCACATTATGCTGTGAAAGCCAAATTATTTTTCATAATGTTTTGAACCAAAGACAGACTTCAAATATAAAAACACCTTTACCAAACGGATAATTATTCATCCAAAATAAATAATAAAAATCCTAAACACAATCAAAAAATACTCATAAACAGACCTCTTAAAAAGGAGAAATTGGCACACACTTGAAGCATTCCTAAAAGCGGGGCTTTTCATAGCATTTAGGGAGCCGGTATATGACTGAGGGCCACAAGGGAACTTTTAGTAAATGTCTCAAATGCTTTGTTTTTTGTGTCGTTTTTGCAGGTTTGTAGTTCTTCAGTGTGTGTGAGGTGACTACTACATTCTTTGACATCAGCTGCATTTGCACGTGTTAGGAAGGTAAGGACATTCAAGTTTAAATGGAAGAAAAAAAATACTCCTTTGTTTTGTTCTACACTGCTGAATCACAGTAAGAGTCTAAAATCTATAACAAAGTAGTACTGACCGTTCCTTCAGCCAATGCAGAGATGACATTTCCCAGGGATGACAGGGACTTGTTGATGTTCTTGGCTTCATCCAGCACTGCTCCCTCAGCACCTGTTTTACTGACCTGAGAATCACAGAGAATAAATAA